AAGTCGATTATGGATGTTAACCAAGAAGCGGACAGTGAATTTCTACAACTGGAATCAAAATATTTTTTAGAATGAGGATGAAGATTTCTCAAAACAGAAGTCTCGGTGAAATGGTCTGTTTGCCTAAAAACTATGATTTATCATCCATTAAGAAAGTAAACAATCATAACGTACGTAAATGAGTCGGGAACAATTGTGTACAACCTCATTCAACTTCACAATTCAGCTAGACCGGGGGTCATTGCTGATGTGAAGTCCCGAAGCATGAAACCGTTTCATGACTAGACCAGACTCCCACGTGAATTGAGCATTTACGAACTTTCATTGTCCACTTGTAGAGATCATTCTAGCCCTCAAGGGCAAATTGGGCACGTACGTTTGTGTATGAAAAGAGAATGGAAAGGTTTCTATAGACCACCATACAGTGATCAAGTTGAATGTCAAATGAGAATGTGTTTAAGAAGGTGTAAGAGACTGTAGAGACAAATAAGGTTCGCGAAGGAGTGGTGGACGTGGTGGATGAAAAAGAAGGCGAGAAATTCTAACAGCGAGTTTTAATGGACTGGATGATTTTACATAATGACCAGTATCGGGCGAATGACATATAGATGTTGAACTCGGAAGCTGTGAAGAGAAATTTATAGAATTCATCGATTCACAGCAAAATAAAGGGTCAAGGATCCAGGAAGTTCAGAAACATGAAAAACAATTGTCTTCACATCAAAGTTTCTCTATAAAAGCCATTTACGTAAACAATCGCAACTTCAAAATCGGATGATCTTTCTTTAAGTTTTGGGGTGTTAAAAATCAAAAGTTCATACCCCAAATCAAGATCAAGATGAATATGTTGAGGTATGAATAATATTTCATTCACAGCTTCACACGAGTCATGAACCGCAAATCATAAAGTATCGAACAACGTTGAATCGAAAAGATTACAATTTGTTAACCCTTTTTCCAAAGACTGCAAACTTAACAAACCCGAATTTCAAGGTGCCATCAAGGTTCAAGGGTTTTTACCTTTCCAAGCAGTCAAACACCCTCATTCTATTCATCGGAACAGCTCCGCACTCGAAATCATAATTCCCATTGATTTTGATGGATGGTCCCTAAAGGAAACTCTCTGCAGCTCCCATTCCAAATCTCCATTCAGAAACTGGATCCATGTGGACTGATGTGGAGGCTGTGGCATCGTCTCATGAGAAAGAAAGGTATAATTTCAAGACATCGGCATAAATGACGCATGAACAACCAAATTAAAGACGCAGGTGCAATTCACAGGGAAACACTGGAAATGAGTTTATCACAATTGAACTGAGATACTCAAGAGATGGAGCCTCACTGAGCCGAGTGTTTTGGGTGAAAACCCTCTGGTAAAATCACCTAACTAATTATATCCTAACAATCTAACACACCTTACAGGATGACTAGTGATCCATACAAACAACCTAAACAGGTCAAACAAACTGATGGATGAACAAAAGAGTCGCAAAAAACAGATCTGAACAGTACTTGTCTTGAAGGACTCAATCCCAAAAGAAAAGAAAAAAATAAAGGACCTGCAAAAATCTAATAAGCAAACTGATAGACCAAGTTGAATTTCAATGGTAAACAGCTTCTCAAAAGAACTGATGTAGTCAACAGACAGAAGTGGTAAACTAATTTCGATGACGACAAAACAACACAGATAACAAAAAGAAATTCATTGACCGGGTCTTTGACTATACATACCATCAAATTCCTTTAGTCCCACATTCCTATGTTGATAACAAACTATCAACAACTAAAAATTCTTGACCAAGTAACAATCGGACTCGTGGCGAATGCTATAGGATGGGTACTATCAGTGTAATATGTAGGTTAAGATCTACAGCGAGAATTAATGGTATGCACTTGATCATTGGTTTGTGTCTCCATGAGATTGTTTGATTGCAATCATTTGAAAGTTTTTTGACTTCATAAGGAACATACGATGTCAATGAAAATAATTTGTTCTTTGGATAGACTATTGTGATGTCATTGTTGGTTTGGAAGGTGATTATTGTTCTGAATGACTTCAAGTGACCTTATTGTTGATGGTGATCACGTGAAGGATTGAGTACCGAATTTGGTAAATTGATTGATCATGACGTCAATAAGAAAATTCTCATCAAATCTGATGAAAAGCCATCATTTCCATTTCGATTTCTCTGATTACCATCCCATCATCCTATATACATATGATTTGTGCAATCTCTAACATCAGAATACTAAAACCTCATCACTCTAAACTACCATTCAATCCAGCTTTACAATCTTACTTTTACAAACCATCAAATTCGAATTTCTCATCTCAATCCAAAAGTATGGGAAAATCAGAAGTAAACGCAACTGGTTTGACTCCAGATGAATCTAAGAAATTGAAATCAAGAACTGAACGTGAAGATGAAAAGGTTATCATTCGCTGTTTGAAAGACGTTAGTAGAAACTCAAGTTTTCACTTTTGATGATCTTATTCTCATCAGCCTTCCAGAACTGACGATCTTGATGATGAGTTTCCTGTAGTTGTATACTTGTAATCCATCCGAGAGTGCTTATGAGATGTATGCAGAAAAAGCTACCTTTCATGATCCAGTCGTACGTCATACCTTTCTGATTGAGCCTTTTCCGTATCATCATCACTGGGACTGAAATGTTGATAAATCCCTTTGATAGTCAATTGCTACTCCTCTCTCATCGATCAAATCTCAGTTCAACGGGATGCCAAAAGTCTTTAGTAGTGCGACGATTGATAAGTTTGAGGTATTAGAAAGTCCCAGTACCTTACCCAATCCTCCTGGACCAGATCAATTCACTGTCATCAACCAGGATGTCACTTGTAAGCACTCATTTTTTGTCTCTCTAGAGATTTCGGCGTGTTTTAATCAGCTGATTTGGTCGGTAGACTTTCGAAAGGGAGAGAAATTCAAGACTGTCAACTCTCTCTTGACCCTCGAGAGAGACCCTAATGGGAAAGTCATTAAACATACCGAGGAATGGTCTCATGATAAACAAACTGGTTTGTGATCAATCATCACCTCCTTCCAACACATCTTTGTTTCGAGACTCTATTGACGACCGCATACATTGTTGATTTTCTACAGACGCCAATGATGGTATCTTTGGCACTTTGAATGAATGGAGAAAGAAGTTGACTGCCAATGTGATTGATAAAGGAGTGTCGGATGACCCTTCAAAGGCCAAGTGATGATTAGGTCTGAAATTCTAAAGTATGGAGGTTTAGTGTATCAAATTCCGTGGTGTGGTTCACTGATCAAATCAGCAGCAACTCGATCAAAAACATCAATGTATAATACATTTACAAAGACATTACTACTGGCTCTTTGTACTTTAACAGATAAAATTATAATCCTTAACAATCAACAGTGAGATAAAAGATTACATTGCAAAATAAAACATAAAGTTTGAAGGCAAAATTCACTTCACTGATCATCAATAGGACTGAATTTTAACATACAGACACCAAACTAAGTCAATATGCACCAATAATGGCACATAAATATTGGTATGCATGAAAAGGTGATTGGTAGTCAGAATGCAAAACAGTATGAAGTATATAAATATCATCTCTCACTCAGGCTATATGATGTGGCTAGAAGAAGTTGTCTTCAACTTGTTCAAACTTTAAGCTCCTCCAATGGGCCAAAAATAAAGATGAAAAAGAAGAATAAAACAACAGTGGGTAATGAACATGTTCATGAGTATTAATTTCACATGATAAGGATCTTTCCACCTGATTGATGTGTATTTTATAAACATGTGATTGGCCCTATGAGCACCAAGATAGGTGCTGCACAAAATATGAAGGTAGTAAATTCTATACTCTTTATCACCCATTCTGAGTGATTGCTGGAGTACTGCACATCTGTTGTGATCAATGCTTTCTAAAACCCAGCCATCATGTTGGACAAAAGACACAGCTAGATTCTTACTAGCTGGGAAGGTAGGCAGAACACCCTTTTTTGTGCCATTGGACCAATTTCTTCCTAAGCTTCTCATGTTCCTCAAGATAGTTACATCACATTTATTTTACTCCTTGATCCAAGCATCTAAACTGTTTCAAGGAACATTGTGAAATGCTGCAGCAACTCCCAGAGTCTCAAGTTCTTCATGTGCCTCAACCACTCTCTTCCAGAACAATGGAGGGTACTTGGTCTGTGGATGTACACTATTTGAAAGCTGTACTTGTCTTTGGGACTTTTTCACAAGATAGATGAGTGTAATTAATTCTTTGGACAGCTGGGTTGGTTCAACATTTGATTTTCTTTGTTCAATGGACTACAAACTCAGTGATGAAGTTTTCTTATGTAAAACTGAATGAGCACCAGAGAATCTATCATATTTGGTTCTCCATAAATGTGTAGTAAATCTAGGAATGAATACTAACCTTTTGATGTGGTGAAGATCTGCTCAGGCTTGCCACTTGCAATGAGATTCTTGGGGCACAATGAGTCTTGAGGAACTTGTTGGTCTGTACTTGTCAGACCCTGCTCATATGCTCCAAATTCAAGGCTTGTTTTTTAGAAGTCTTTGTAGTTAATGATTTGTAGGACATCTGCGTAAACTTTGGACTTGAGGAAGTCACCTGCAATTTACCACTTGACTGATATGATCCTTCCACAGGAATTATTTAGGTCTTATGTCAATACTCTGGAAGGCACTGATTGTCTTGGTAATGTAACCTGAAGGTCATATTTTCTCTTTTCTGTGATGGTTCTGGCATCCTATCATTCCAGGAAAGAGAACAAGAAGCTTGAAAAGCTGTTCTGTTCTCTGAGAAGGCCTGGAAATCTTTGCTTGTTTTTTTGTTCCTAAAACCAAAACTTCTTTCATGGTTACAGGAAAGTACTTCTTTTTGACACTTGTGTATGGAGTCCATTGATATTGGTTGCTCTGAGTATATTTCTGGTAGTGAGTTCAATCCATTCAATACATTTGTCTCTCGTGCCATTTACACTGTCCCTTGTAGCCAAAAACATAAGGGGATGTAGTCAAGGATAAAGTAAAATTCAGATTCTTCTTGACTTCACATTCATAATGCATCAGGATGATGTCCTGAATTATGGCTTGATGGATTTTAGAGTGAGGAGGTATATTTTCCTGTGAGGCAAAATAGCTTACAAAATTTTGAACTTTTCTCTGTTGGACTTGCAATATAAAAACTGTGCAGCAGGTGGTGAGATACTGAATAGAAGTTTTTCTCATATTGATCTATCAGTTGATATGTGACAATTAGGTTTGATCTGAATGTACCAGACCTACTTGATGTTCCACACTTCCCAGATTCACAGAAAAATACTCAATTTCAAACAAGTTGATCATGGTAAAGTTGTGTGTCAATATCTATGTGGCTTGAATAAAACCTATCACAAGATCTCATCCTTATCACAGTTTAAAGAAAGGGAGTAATGGTTTATTATTCATGAAAACGTATGGATCATTGAAAATGAGAAAGTGAGAGTGAGATAACTCACAATCTCAATTATTTTCTGGCCTCAGTCTCTCTTTCTACCTTATTACATCCCATATAGCCATGTTGATTCAAAATCCTCTGGGAAACTATAATCTCACCCAGAATGTCAAAATTTCACATTTAGCCTAGGATTGATGTTGAAAGGCAAGGTAAGGAGGTTTTTCTGATTCTTGATAACTTTCTTGAGCTAAAAAGATATTCAATTAGTAAACTTTCACTTCAAATTATGAGTAAACAAGACCAGAGATCTTTGGTAAGATTGTGAAGTATTGGGTGTCAAGCTTCCTGATAGATTTTTCATTTAAGCAAATCTGGAGCTATGTCAAATGCAAGCTTTGAGCATACTTATTGAATAAAAACTGGGCTTACCTTTAGGGCCCGTTCGGATCGTTTTCAGATATTATCTGACCTGAAAACGAAATTTCGATTTGCCCCTATCTCAAGGGGCACATCGACATTGTCGTATTTCGGACATGGAAGTTACCGAACAGCAAACCAAAAGAGGTCAACCGACATCTGTTGACCTCGTGATGATCATATCGCTGTTCGGTAACGGCCATATCAACTTGCATGCATTTTCATTTGCCTCAATCTTTTGAAACGGTCATCCAGACCTTCATCATTTGCATCCTAAACTTTCCTTCTTGTGTTGACATTGCACCAAAATGGTTCAAATTGAACAATCGATTTCAAAAGTGATAACAGATTTGAAGATTTAACATAAAGAAACGAACAAAAAACCAAAAGACAGAACAGAGACAAAGCGAATAGAAACAAAAAACAAAAACGAAAAGGACAAGGAACAGAAGACCGGAAAGAACGAAAAGACAAGAAAAGAAACCAAACATAAACAAAGAACAGAAGCAAACAAGAAA